GTAGGAGGCAAGGGGTCCACAGAGCTCCGGACCTTTCTCAACAGCTCAGCATAGGATGGAAAAAAGCCATCTGCTGTTCAATTGATTCTCCACTCCCAATACCTCCTTAAAAGCTTTGCCCCCTCTCCCCCGGGTTCCCACCACTCCCTTCTGAACGGCATCCTCCATACAGTCTCACCCCATGTAATTGCTTCTCAGCACTGCATAAGAATGCTCTTTCTTAAAAATAACCTTAAAGTTCATCAGAGACTCTTCAACCTGTTGCCTTCTGCAGAGAGCTCAACTCCTGCACAGCATGGTCTGCCCTGCTGACCTCCCCTGCCCAGTCCTTGGTCTCTGGTGCCCTTCATCCATCCAACCCACCTCGCGCTTTGTCTCCTGCCGCATCTTCAGTTTCCCCCGGGGGCTGTGCGCTCCCATAGGCCTGGAGTACCCCCTCCACCAACGTGGGACTGAGTCGACATCAGATAGCCTTTCTGATTGGCACTTGGCAAGCCCTGCCCCATGCCAGCCTTTGCAGCCCCTGCCTTCAGTGCACGCCTACCTTGACGCTCTGCTACCACACCCCATGCTGATCTCTATCCCAGAGTGCTTAGGACTCAGAGGACGTCTGTTTCTCCCACCAGAGTGTGAGAACCGGAAAGGTAGAACTGCATCTCTTTTCTTTACATTCCCATCTCGTAGCCCAGTATTTACAACCTAAGACATACTTCCTATATGTTTGTTGGATTTTCTTATTTAAGAGAATAAACATGTAAATGAGTTGGAAGATGCCACGAGAAGGCCAAGGTAATAGATGCAGTTCACACAGGCTGATCTGGTCACCTTGCCCCATCCATGGTCTCTGGCTGCTCCCAAGAGTCTAGCGAACTACTTGATAAATGTGGGTCATTAATTTTAACATGAGGGGACCAGGTGAGAGTCAACCGCAAACTCACTTCTAGAGAAAAAAATCAAAGTGCTGGTCGACGAGGTCACTTCGCTGCTGGTGAAAAGGAATAACAATTTGATGGAGAACTGGTGAGCCACACACTTCGTTCTGCATTTACAGAGAAACCTGTTGAGGCTGTTCTAGGGGAAGACACTGATGTCACAGCTTCAGTCCTGAAGAGGAGGCCAGAAGAGCGGGCAGCGGCAGGTGCTGTCCCCAGCTATTCAACCTGACCATCTTAAAGCCTGCACCAAAGACACAAAAGGAGTAAAGTCAGGGACAGAGAGCTTCCTCTTCCTCTTCCACTCCCGCTGCCAGGGGCCACCTGATTGCACTGTGCATCACGTAGATGGTGGCTTCCACTTAGCATTCAGCCCAGTCTGCTGCCCAACGCAAACCAATTTCTGAGCAATTCTTCGGGCAAGTGCCCTGGTCCTGTTGATCTCACAATTACATCTGGAAACACTTAACCATGAGACATGTCAGCGGACTGGCCACTTGGTGCTGCTTCCTCTCAACTTGGTCATCGCCACAGCCTGTGCTAAAAATAAAAAAACAAATTTCTTTGTCAGGCCAGGCTCAAGTTATTGCGCCAAAGGGAAGAAGTCTCCCAGATCCACTCTTGGTACTAAAATTTCTACCTTTAGAAAAATTACCGGGATAATGTATGTGAGGTTGAAGGTGAATTTCTAATGTTGCTCAATGGAGTGGCATCCAGAGAGCCAGGAATGATGGAAATCAGCCCTGACAGTCTCCTAAAATGGATGAAGGCCCAGCAACATGCTCATGGAACCAGGGAATTATTATGTTCTCAATTATTAGCTGACCAAAGGTCCAGCGACCCTGAGCAGAAAGAAGGGGTAGGATCCAGGACATGAGGATCAAACACAAGGCTAACCAGAGCCTCTGGTCCCCTGTCCTTCCCACCATATCCAGTCTAGATCTTGGGACCAGCAGCCCACTCGGGGCACATCCACCTGGGAACGAGAATGGGAAGGAAAGGGTGAGAGGCAAAGAGGACTCCTTCCGTTATCTACCAGATCTAGGCAGGGAGACAGGCCCCAGGTACCCAGTGTGTTTACCAACTCCACCTCTTGGCCTCTCCGAGGAGAAGAAGAAAACGGACAACCTAAATAGTGGATTTCAAACCCAGCTTGTCTTCAGGCTCATCAAGGAGCTTTGGAAAGACACTGATTCAGGACCTAGCCCTTGACATGCTGCTTTAGTAGATCTGTAATGGAACACAAAATCTGAATTTTAATGAAGTCCTCAATTTGAGAAACCACTGATGAAGTTTCTCTTATCCGGTGAAAAGGAATAACAATTTTATCAAGGACTGGTGAGTACAAAGCAAGACATGGGCAGCGTGGAAGGCTGGGTGGGGCTGGAGAGATGGTTTTGTGGACAGCTGTGTCTCCCCAAGTTCCCAGGATGTGGAAACCCCAGGTTGCTGCTCCTGACAGTTTGTAAAAGCAAAACATTTTTTGATTGTCTTTCTACTATTGCCACAGACTAAATCACAGTAAATTGAACCTATAAACAAACAAATGGCCTTGCAATTTGTCCAGGGTAAGGCAAGTGCACCCAGCAGCTAAGCATCAGTCTCACGTGTATTTGGTAAGTGCCTCCACCAACCGCTTAACACAGGGGTCTCAGAAGAAAGAAAGCACAGTCTATGCTTCCTCTCCAGAGGCACAATCTGGAGCCCTTTTCCCATCCAAAGTTTGTCATTCCTTGGACACTTTTATCTGGGGACCAGCTCCCTCAGGGCATATACCTACGGGCAAAGAGATTTTATTCTTCTTTCAAACTTGAAAAAACCTAATCCAAAGAGGCATGGTGGCACACACCTGTAAACCCAGTGACTCAGGAGGCTGAAGCAGGAGGATCACAAGTTCAAAGCCAGCCTCAGCAACCTAACAAGTTCCTAAACAACTTACTGAGACCTTGTCTCAAAATGAAAAATAAAAAGGGCTGGAGATGTGGCTCAGTGGTAAAGCACCTCCAGGTTAAATTAGAAGAAGAAGGAGGAGGAGGAGGAGGAGAAAGAGGAGGAGATTTAATGATGAAACCGTCCTTCATGGGAAAGGACTATTATTGCATAAGGCAGGTGTAAGGTGAAGGCCAAGAATATTGTGTGTTGATCTTCTAAAATGAGAAATTCCATCAGTGAGTTATAAGGGGCGAGAGGAAGGCAGACGTGCCAGTTGCTGCAGAGACCAGGACAAGAACAGCCTGAAAGCCTAAAAGCAATAGCAGTGCTCCCAAGGCAAGAGGGAGAGGGGACAGCAGCCACTTGCAACTGTCCCCTGCAGTGGAACTGTAGCCTTGAGAAATGGGTGGGATCAAGAACTTCAGAGACCTGACACACCAGAGACGAACACTAACAGGTTTCCTGCAGCTATTAAGGAAATCAGTTTTAAGGAGTAAAGATTTAATTTGAGCATAGAACCTTTTGAGGCAGCTTTAAACTTTGAGGTTTTATATGATTGTGAACCCTCTGCTGCATGGAGAGATGTTGAGCTCCTGCCAATTACAGCATCCGCTCTACTTCCCGTTTTAGTAGCATCCAAAGAGTGCTCTACTTGGGGTCTGAAAACTTGCGTTCGAGTGGCCTGAGTAAGCCATGCGATCCTTCGGAGCACACTTTCCTTGTCTGTAAAGTGAGCCTCTCGATTTTACTCCTCTGCCTTCCTCTCCAGTTTCTCACAAGAACGAAATGGAAATTTGAAAAGCACATGCTAAACTTATAGAAACGGAGTGCTGTTCCCTGGTGTGGCCACACCTGAAGTAGGTAGTGGGGATACCCTGAACAGTGCTGTGACAGTGTCCACACTGCTGGACAGTAACCTGCAGCCAGTCCTTGTGCTGAGTGTGAGTGCATCTCCAGAGGGGCCTTGATGCAGGCCACCAAACTTCAGCAGTCTTCCTAATGATCTTCCTGATAATCTCAGATGGGGCTTTAGATGACAGAGATTTGGGTGAGGTTGCTGTGTCACCTTCCTTCTGAGACATGCTGTCTATTACCTACCATCTAACTTTCCAGGTGGTAGGATGTCACACCTGTGCTGTACTAGTTCTACCACTAGGAGGCACTGTAGTAACTGACCTGTGAAGCCCTCCCCAGCCTCTCCAGGGCTGCTACAGTTCGAGAAAGCCCATCACTAGCCCAGAAGATCACTGTATTTACAGAGCACCCAAACCACCCTTCCTGGCACGGCTAGCTGTGCCTTTAACTTGCTCTGTCAGCCCCTGCAACCCAGAAGGCTCCTCCAGTGGGCTTCTTGATTTGCCAGCTAAGCACTAAAATTTGTTCCGAAGCTAAACTCTCTAAGACACATGATTTAAGCTTCTCTTTCAGCTAATTAGATATTGTTCTACAAATTGGGCTGTTCTCTCTGAAAGATGAGCTGCAATTTACTTTCCCTGCCCTCTCCTTAAACTTAAACTGAACTGTAAAACATGGCCGTTTGCTTGTTTAGTACAATCAGGAGATTATTTTGTGCAAGGAATAGATATCCATCTTCTTGCTAATGCTGAGCTTGTTTGGGCATTCCTTAATGGCTGCTATGAAAATGACGGAAGCTTTGCTTAGATCCCTTTTGCCCTTTTGAAAGGTGGACCCCACGGTGATTTATTGGCACTCGTGCATCTGCGATAATCTCCTGAGTAACCGATCACAAACAACTGCATTAACACGTCTTCACTCCACAAGGGGGGGAGATCTTCACTGCCCCCATTTTACTGATGAAGAATTTGATCTCAAGGAAGTCAGGCCATTTGCCGACATCCAAACAGCTAGGTATATAGAGAAGCCAGACAGTGAAGCCAACACTTTCATCCTCAGATCCCTTAAATCTATTGTCAGAAGAATCCAGTGTCAGGTGAAGAAGAGGAAGGCAAAATGATGTGGAGCTCGGCGCCCACACGGCTCAAATCCACTGCAGATTTCTTACAGCTCTGGATAAAATTCCAACCCTGAGGTCCTTTGAAACCTTCTGGGGCCTGGGGCTCTTGGACACAGTGGGAGAAAGGATCTTTTCTGGAAATCGCCTCTTTTATTGTGCAGGGGGCCGAGTATTCTCTCACCCTCAAGACTGTGCCCAACATCTGATGAACGGAGACGCTCTGAGCGGAGTGTACACCATCTTCCTCAATGGGGAGCTGAGCCAGAAGTTGCCGGTGTACTGCGACATGACCACAGACGGCGGTGGCTGGATCGTAAGTACACACAGCTGCTCTCCTTGCATGCAGATGTCCTTGGTGTCACAATCTGCCTAGCTCAGCCTCTGTTGGCCCAGCGTCACTATCCATCTGGCCATCCTTTCACCCATACCTCCGTGTTCAATAGCCCAGTGGGAGATTTAGCCAGGCAGAGATGAGGATCAGCATATCCAGGCTGCAGTGACGTGGCCTGAGGAAGGGCCAGGATGACTGCCTTCCCTCCTGTCCCTTCTGCAAGGAGAGCGCATGCAGGAGGGTGCTGGGGAGAGGGGTCGTGGCCAGAGCCCAGGAACCTGCCTGCAGGGGGGCTGCAGCTGTAATAAAGCACGGAGGAGGATCCCCTCTGTGTAAGAGGAGCCTCCCTGGCCAGGCAGTGAGGTCCCTTCTCTCGGAGGGTCGCACTGGGGGGTGGGGGCAAATGAGGGACAGAACTGGAATGGCCACCTCCAAGGACCTTCCCTGTCCTCCTCCTTCTCCGGAGGCTGATTCTCTCCCAGAATCCCTCAGGGAGCACCACTTACTGTCACGGCCCCCTCCGACATCTAACAGGCCGGTACAGAGCTGAAGGAAAGGGGGGGGCTCCCTCATGGCCACCTCTCCAAACAGGCCACCGTGCAGATGGAGCAGTAGCTGCCTGGTGCAAGATGGAAATGGCCCCCCCTCCACCCTCTGCGCCTCCCTCACCAGCACTGCTGACGCACAGTGCCAGATCCTCAGGGCGCAAAATGGGTGGTTTTGGAATAGAGTGAAATGGTGACTATGCTCCTAACAGCCACTCTCTGGAGGCATTTTCTTTTATGTTTCTGACATATCTGTGCCTCCTTCTTAAAGCATAATTGGAAATTGAAGCCGAGGCTGATGTATTGGAGGTTAAATGAAATTAGCACTTAAACAGCTCAGGATGTGAATGATATGCAGTTGCTTTGGCTGCAATAAGACGATGACAGTTACCAGATGATTTGAAGCTGCTTCTGTTCCTGTGGAGAGAAATGCTTTCTACCACACTCTGTGATACAAAAGATTAATTTGAGAGTCAGACCTATTTCCCCTGACTATTTGGGAGCTTGATAAGTGTCCTGAATCCTTTCTACATTGTAAGGGGTGCAAATTGGCATCAATGTCACCTCACAGCCTAGTCACCAGGGGCCTCTGTGCTGCAAGGAAGTGTTGTGAGCATTTCTTCCAAAAGCTGCAGTGTGGATCCTGAGCTCTGTTCTGAAACCTTCCTTACCTGGGCATCTTCGCCATTGTCCATACGGGACCCAGTTGCACCAATTTATTCAATTTTATTCGCAGTCGCTTTTCCTGATCATCTCCCCCCTCTCGCGTTCCCCTTGATCTTCACAGGTATTCCAGAGGCGGCAGAATGGCCAAACTGATTTTTTCCGGAAGTGGGCAGACTACCGCATGGGTTTCGGGAGCCTGGAGGACGAGTTTTGGCTAGGTAACGCCTGCTTCCCGCTTTTCCCTGGTGTGCTACTCTGGCTTTTGGTGCAGCTCTCTCCTTTCTGCGTCCATCTGGAATCATCGGGAACCCGTGTCTGCTGAGCAGCTGACAGCTTGCGGATTGCTTTCAGAACCCCCTGCCCTGTTTGGCTGCACTATTGATCTGTTTTATCTTATTGTGGTGTTTTCCTCTTTGCTCCGTCTCTTCCCATCCTCATTAATAGTCTCTTATGCTGATGGGTCTCGACATAAGGCAGCTACAAAGGGAAGGAACTGCTAGGCAGGGGAAGGGGCACCGGGAGCAAGGGGCGGGCTGGCCAGGGAAATGAGGCCGGTTGCTCTGCTCGGTTCCTTGGAGCATGTCATTGCCTGACTGGGAAGGAGAAGGAAAAGATGAAAGTGCCATTAGAGGTGAGCGGCAGTTTCTTGGAGGTCTGACGCAACAGGAGGTTTAGATGGAGAGCTGGGCCAGCCTGAGAAGGTGCAGAAACACTGGAGCCAGGCAGGAGACCCAGTGTCTGTTCATGATGCCCACATCTCCCACCTGGTTAGATTTCCATAGCGACTGAGAAAGGCCGGCAGAGGAGAAGGCAGAGAATCAAGTTCCATATTGGTGGTCTCCTCTCTTCCTCCCCTGCGCCATCTCATCCAAGCCTCACCATCTGCCCCAGATGTCCAGGTAGCAGCCCCTGAACTCCCGGGCCTCCCCATTGCCCACAGAGCCTCCGAATGATCTTCCTCACTCCCCATGTCTGAGCAAGTTCAAGCCCTCCGTGAACCCTTTACAGTGACTCCCCCTCACACCCAGAGGAGGGGCAAACAGCTCCCCCACAGAACAAGGCCTCTCCAACCACCCCTGCCTATCACACTGTCCTTTCTGGCCAACTCCAAACTCCAGATTGCTCTCAGAACCACTGAGATGCCTCTGTAAGAACACTCTCAGCCACTTCTCCCCGCAGGCACTCGGGTGTCCAGCCACCTATATGCAAAGTCCAGCTAAGCACCCCTTCCTCCATAGGACCTGTCCTGACCATTTCCTCACCTGTCACCTGTGGAAGAACTGGCTCTCCTCTCTCTGTTGTGACCCAAATCACAACATCCCTATCCCTTTCTGCCCTCTTGACTGTACTGTATAAGCATTGCTCTGGGCTGGGCCCACCCCTGCACCCACCCCATACCCATCTTCCAATGCCATTGCCTGTAGCCATGCCTGGGGATAGTAGGTGCCCACAGTACAGATGTCAATCATCAGTGATAACCATTTAGCGAATATCAGATAGCCAAATCTGTGCTTGCCAATGTAGGTAATAAAAAAAGGTAAAAACCATATAAACACATTGAGAAAAAAGTCAAATAGGAAAATGTGCTTTACCTTTTTGTGATATCAGAGATTGAACCCCTGGCACCCTACAACTGAGAAAAATCCCTAGCCCTTTTTATTTTTTGAGACAGGGCCACACCAAGTTGCTGAGGCTGGCCTCAAACTTGTGATCCTCCTGCCTCAGTCTCCAGAGTTGTTGGGATTACAGGTGTGCACCACTGCACCTGGCCAAAATACACAGACCTTGAAAGCATTTGCAAATACTTGGGAGGCAATCCTGATGCGCATGAATCAATGTATCCATAAGCAGATAGGACTTACGTTTCCCAGGCCTAAGCCAAACCAGTTTCCTGGGTTTTTGTCAAATCTGTGAAATATATAAAGTATCAGGAACTCAAATTTTCTATGTATCACTTTTTTATTTGGTTAAATCTATTTGTTAAAAAAAAAAAAAAAAAAAAAAAAAAAAAATTTACATTGTTGCCAAAAAAGGAAATCTGGTTATCATGTGTTATAAGTAAAAGGAAGCCTCAAAAATAAATGCAAAGAAAAGAAAGCAATACTGTTAACTGAGAGTTCCACCCAGGGACTTTGGGCCCCCTGTGGTTGCTGGTGGTGGTGTGAAAATGGAGATGGGAAAGTGTTGGGTGTTAAATCACAAAGTGCTAGAACCAAACTGGGACTGGGAATTGAGGCCAGGGTCAAGGTCAGGTTCAGGGTCAGGGCTCCTCCTTCAACTCTGAAGAAGGACTGAGAGAATTTGGAAATACCTTTCCCCTAAAGGTCAAGGTTATTTCATGCCTGTTTGAGTCAGCTTTTTTGCTGCTGTGGTTAAAGATGTGACCAGAACTATTTTAAGGGAGGAAACGTTTATTTGGGGACTGTGGGTCAGTGACTCAGCAAACACCAGTCAAAGAGCCTTCCACTTGCAATCGATGTAAAGCTTTAAATCCCAAACAGGATAAAGAAGCCAAAAGATGTGGGTGACCTTCAGTCAATCATTTCACCTCTCTGGACTTAAGCTTTCCCTTCCACAAAACAAAGAGGTCGGCTGGAGTAAGTTCTAATTCCCTCCACCGCTGCAATTCTTTGATTCTAAATCATGGCACACTCAGATAGCTATCAGATGTCCCAGCAAAGCAAGAAGAGCCCAGTTCGGTTCGCAGATAGAAATCAGAACTCGGAGGTCACCAGCAAGGCGGGGCAAGGCGTCAAATGTTCAGGCAGAGAGGTCAAAATCAGACTATCCTGGGGCAAGTGGACAAGAAAATATCTCTGAGAAGATATCACCATGTGGGACCTGGACTCCACCCAAGCTCTGGGCTTGCAGGGCTTTGCACCTTCCAAGAATACATGAGCCCGAGGTCTGGAGTACTTAGAGGCCAAGGAGATAGCATGTGGGGGGGGGGGGGAACTGGCCAGGAGACCAGCAAAGAGACAGCCGTGCAAGATATAGCAGGTAGAGCAGAGAGACGGGAACAGAGACAGAGAGCAAGACAGATGCTCCTGAACTTATGATGGGGGTTAAATCCAGATAAATTCATCATGAGTTGAAAATATTGTCCAGTGGGAAATGCATCTGCTCTACCCAACACCCCAGCTTAACAGCACAGTACAGAGCAGAGCTCATATCATTTCCCATTGGGATCAGCTGGTGGCAGCTGAGCACTGTGGCCCAGCATCGAAAGAGAGAGAATACTCACAGCAGAGCACTAGAGACCCAAACCCAAAGCACAGTTTCCACTGGATGCATACAACGTCCACCCCACTGTAAAGTCAGGAGATGGTACGATGAGTCACTGTTAAGTCAGGTGCTACCTGTACTCCCTGACCTGGGTCTGGTGATCCCCAGAGGCCTGGAGGCAGACAGAGAAGGGCCAGTGTGATGAAAGATGGATAGAGCCCCCTCTGCAGACTACAGGACACATGAGGACGTTGGGACCCCTGGGACGCTCCAGAATTCCTCTGATGAGCGATGCTACCTCCTGCTTCCTGCCGCCCATGCCACAGGCTTCCCGCCCTGCGATGCCGCCTGTCCTTTTCTTTCCATACCATGACTTGGCATAGAAGAGGGCAAGGGACAGGCCAGGAGACCTGAGGCTTCGGGTGTGTCAGTTATGGGGTCAGCACTGGGGGTCAGCACCCTGTGCTGCCTGGTGGCCCTCGTCAGCAGCATTGGGCTGGCCTCTTTACAGGAAAAGTAATCCAGCGGGGACTATTGGATAACAGCTCGAGAAGCGCTGAGGGCAGAAGCAACCTGCATGCCCTTGTCTTCCCTGTACCGTCTGTGTCAGGGTCAAAGTCACATTTCCCTTTCACTTCCAAAGCTGCCTGAGGCCCGGCTCAGGGCACTGTCTGCTCTTCTGCACAGGGCTGGACAACATACACAGGATCACGTCCCAGGGCCGCTACGAGCTGCGTGTGGATATGCGAGACGGACAGGAGGCGGCCTTCGCCTACTACGACAAGTTCTCCGTGGAGGACGGCAGGAGCCTGTACAAACTCCGCATCGGAAGCTACAATGGCACTGCAGGTACCTGTGGCCCCAGGGGCGCTGGGCATGCAGCAGGAAGGCCCCAGTGACCTAGACCTGAGCCGCATGGGGGAGGAGCACCACCCACAGAGCTCTCTGTAGCCAGGGAGGACGGCTGGACCGCAAGAGTCGCTGGCTCTGGTCTCAGCCCTGGCCCCTCTGGTGACCTGAAACCAATTTATCAGGACTTTGGTTTCCTCATCTGGAAAATCATAAGATGTTCGTCCTACTTCACAGTGTAGACAGGAAAAAAAAATCAGTAAATGTCATGAAAGTGCCTTTAAAAAGTTTTTAGTTAAGAAGTGCAGTGTGAGAGGGAAGGCTTGCTTTCCTTCGCTAGGTTAGCCTGTGTGGACTCTTACCCAGAGACAGCGGAAGCAGCTCTCACCTGGGTAGGATCTTCCCTGCAGTGACCTAAGACAACCTTTGAGTAATGAAAATAATACAAATCCCCTCACTCCCTGAGATGCCCTCTCATCCCATCAAGGAGTGAAGGACGGTCCCTAAGTGTTCCTCGTTGGCCATGAACATTGCTTTCCTTCCTCCAAGAGAGCCACATGCACCATCAGGTTTTCCAGGTAGATTTTTATGGCATTTCTACCAAGCAGACAAACCCGCTCTGGGAGCTCTGTGGCATTAATAGTTCGATCAAGACACAGCATCAGTCTGCTTCTCAGGCTCTGCCAGTCTGTTCCTTATTTCCTGTTATAACATATTTCATAAAGCCTGTCGTGCCAGATATTCTACTGTCTGGGACAGGGAGTTACTGGCTCTCATTAACTCCAATTTCAGGGCTAAGCGTTGGTGTTTAATTTTAGCAACATTTTTTATGCCTCTTAGAATTAAGAAGAGCATCAAGGCGTTGCCCTTCCAATTACTGCATCGGCTCAATTACTTCTGTCTTCAGCCAGGTATTATAACTCCAAAGAGAAGACGCACTTTCTTTTGTTGCTGTTCCTATCTGAGATCATTCGCAATGGCTGTCAGACAAGCCCAGCCAAAGGTCTAATTTACCACACTTTGAGCATAAAATAGCCATTGAAATGGACATATCAAACAAAATGTCAGACTAAATCATTTCAAAAATAACCAGATGCTGTTCACGCCCTAGGATTAGAGCTGCGCCTGTAGGAAAGCCATTCTAATCCCCCGGAGGAAGAACGGCAAGCCCTTCCACTTCTGTGCCTGTGCCCCCTTCCTTGCTCCTCTTCTGCAAGCCTGGGCTTCACCTGCCTAGCTGGGGCCCAGCCCCTGCTGCCTCTGGCCAGCCCTGTCTCCCTGCTGGGCCCCCCGTAGGATAGAACCGGTGGATTCCCTCCGACTCTCTGTGTCAGAGGCAAATCCTGCCATAGCTCTGCTGGTTGTTGTAAATTGAATATGACTCATTCTTTGCCTTGCAAAGAGGAAATCCTGGCTCGCTGCAACTGCTCCATCTAGGCAGCTCCACAGGCAGGTTCCTCCTGGACCAAGCAGCTTTCCGGGAGGAGAGGCCCCGCCCCTTCTTTCTGGCATTTTCTAATATTGCTCATCCCCTTGATGTTGCTGGATTCTACTGGTCCTACTGGCAACAAGCTGTGCTGAGGCTCCAAGTTCAGCCCTTTTCTCAAGGTACTAACTTGCCAGTGTCTAGGTGGGGCTCCACTTGGGTAAGAACGGAGGATTCCAGATTCCAAGTGAATCCATAAGAGGGTGTTGCACAACTCCTAAAGGTTGCAGATACTCAAAGGAAGCATAGGACATGGCCTCCACAAGAACTAAACAGCCAACTAAAAAAAGAAACAACTAGGAAGTTACTCACCACACCATGAAGGGCGGCCCCTTCCTATTTAAGGGGGGCTCAGAGAGGCAGTTGAGGAAGGCTTCTGATGGCTGCTGCATTTGAAAGAGTTATCCATGGTCAGGAAAACGCCCCTGGATGAGAAGCCATGGAAGGAGAAGCTAACGTGGAGGGGGAGGCTGCGGTGGGCCACGGGGCAGAGCGAAGTTCATAAGGAATAGAAAGAAATTGGTGAAGGAGGGGAGCCTGAGCCTCCACTGCCCCTACACTGAAGGAGCAGATTGAGTCTTAGCCTGTGGCCAGCGGGGAGCCCCTGTAAGTCCTGAAGATGTGACAGCAGTGTGGTTCTAGGAAGGTCACTGGATGAGCCCTACACAGGATAACGGAAATTTGAGCAAAAAACAGAGAGTCACTAGTGGCTGCTGCACAAAACCTAATTCATAGGAGGTGATGGGAGGCCTGGCTAATGTTGGGGCTGAGAGAAAGGTGTCAGTCTAACAGTGGGTCAGGAGAGAGGGGCCAAGACTTAGCTCATGTCCCGATACGTGAGATGATGCGTGAGGCAGAAACGGGGAGAGGAGGCAGATTTGTGGAGAATGTAAAGACCAACATCAGGAGCACGTCTAAGAGAGTGACAGGCAGCATCAGAGCAGACACTGGAGAGAATGGTCCAGGGGAGTAACGGGGTGACTTCTAGGCTGCAAAGGGATAATCAGGCTAAGATGGTGACAAGGGTGGAGATACACAGCCAAGTCAGCACTAAAGAAAGGGTCACAGGACAGGAGGATTGGCCCAAGCATGTTTAAGACAAAGGATATGGTGTGACTTAGGAAAAGAGGACATGAGAAATGCTAAAAAACAAACAAACAAACAAACAAAAAACAGAAGGAAAAAAGGAAGAAGACTTTTCTGCCTTTTCCAGGATTGGGAAGAGATGACAAAGAATAAAGTTATAGGTGGTGGGATTAGCTGCAGATGAGGCAAAATCTGAATCCTGTGTTAGAAGTGTAGCCCAGTAGTGAAGTACTTGCCCAGCATGCACAAAGTCCTGGTTTCAATCCCCAGCATTGCAAAAAACAAACAAACAAACAAATGAAATAAATAAACAAATAAAAACCCTTGGAGATGCTGAAGTGGACAGAATAGAGAAAATGACATGTGGCTTTAGGGACTCCCCCAGCCCCTGAGGTCAGCTTCCCTGTAAAATGAAGATCCACTGGCCAAGAACCTGGCTGTGGTGGGATGCTCTGGGGGCAGTGAGCAGACACTGTGGGCACAACTCAGAAGCCACAGGATCAGAACCCAGCCTCACAGCAAAAATCAGCTCTGGATGCAGCTAAGGTCATTTTAACTCCATCAACAGCATGAGTCCCCCTCTCAACAGCCCAGCCACAAATCCTCCTCCAAATCCTCCCAACCATTACACACAAATGACAATCTGACCCCCTCCCTCAAACCTTCAGTTCACATAAGCCCCCTGCACAATGTCCCCAACAAGAGCTCACCCAGCCCCCATGCACCTGAGAACAGAAATCTCACCACAGCTCTAAGATCTTGTGAACAGCTCAGATATTTAGAGAATTTCTCCCCTATGGTCAACCAAACATGCCCCTTTAGTCCATATACTTCCTCACAAAACTATTGAATGTTTCTTTTTCTCAATAATCTGTCAGATATTTGACAAAGGTGATCATGGACCCTGATGAGTCTGACATTTCCAAGCTACAGCCCCTGGCCCCACCCACCTGTCCTTTGACACAGTCCTGGTTTTTCCATCCCCCTGTTTCCTGTAGATGCAACTCTGGTTTGCTAACATCCAAGTTCTTGCAGCACCAAGTTCTGAACATGGGTTTGGGGTATGGTCTGGCAAAAGCCAGGCTAAACCTACACAAGGAAGACCCAGAAAGGTCCAATCAGCACGGCTCATCACTGTAGTGTCCCGGTGCCTGGAGGAAGCAGATGGGGTGTGGTGAGGGGTTGTGTGGATGGAGTTCTCAGCAAAAGGCCAGGGGACAAGGAAATGGGCTGGCGAGGGCAGCACGGCAGTCGCCACCCGGGGGTCAAGTGACGGGGAGAGCTTAGCCAAGCCAGGGGAGGGACAGAGCGGAAGGTACATGAGGGTTCCACAGGTGGGGGCCAGCTCTCCTGGGAGCGGGTCAGATGTCCTATCCACTGTCGAGAGAGACAAATGGGACAGCCTTGTGGTGTTCTTCCTTGCAGGGGACTCCCTCAGCTATCACCAGGGACGCCCGTTCTCCACAGAGGACCGAGACAATGACGTGGCTGTTACCAACTGCGCCATGTCGTACAAGGGAGCTTGGTGGTATAAGAACTGCCACCGGACCAACCTCAACGGGAAGTACGGGGAGTCCAGGCACAGTCAGGTGGGTACTGCTCCGCTGTGGTTAGAGGTGGCCCAGAGCCTGGAACCCACGGCCCTCAGCTCTGTCTTAAATGCCCACGTGAGTCCAGCACTTCCTGATGAAAAAGAGACACGGAAGAGTCTTGAGAAAGAACTGCCATAAAGAGAACAGTAACGCTGAGTGGGGTAGAGACAGGCAGGGCAGGAGCCGGGGGGAGGAGGGGAACCCACACCCAGGAGTGGCGCCCCCAGAGGCCTGAGCAGCAGACGGCTCCCACTCCATTTCCTTGTGGAGGGAGCTTGCCAGTTCTGGGCACGACTTCACGGGCTCAACTGCATCCTAAGAGGAGACCCAGGAAGGGAGAGATCAGAAATACCAGAGTAAGCTGGTATTTCCGCCAAAGACTGTGTATGCCCCGATGGAGCTGGGTGTGGGGGACAGCTGAGCCAACTAGGACTTCCCAGGTGGACACCGAGAGGCCACACGGAAGGAAACCCCTTGGTTCCTGGCAAACCCAGATGGTTAGCCATCCCAGGTGGAAACCCCCAGCCTCCCTTCAGGAGCAAGCAGTCTGCTACTCTCTTCAAAATGCCTGCACACTCTCAGGATTTTAAAATTCACCACCATCGACTCATGCATGCAACTCCTGAAAGCCAAAATGTCAAGCCGGCGATAAGGAATCACCTGCAACATGTTCCCAGGGAAGGCCAGGCCACCGGCAGGTAGAAAGGGAAAGTGGATAGAGGGTCCGCTCTGGCTTTATTGGCAACTCAGCCACAAAGCTACAGCTAGATCCACAACTTGGTCCCCCTGTACCCCTTTCTTTTCATCAAGGGAAGGGTGACCTGACATGCTTCTCTTTCGCATGCCCAGGGGATCAACTGGTACCACTGGAAAGGCCACGAGTTCTCCATCCCCTTCGTGGAAATGAAGATGCGGCCCTACAACCACCGTCTCACCGCGGGGAGGAAGCGGCGGGCCCTGCGGTTCTGAACAGTGGGCAGTTGATCTTCCTGTCATTTGTTTGTATTTTGTAATATGCCACAAGGGGGGAGGGTCATAATGATGTGCTTTGCGACATATTCAGAGTACTCGGAGGAGGCAGGGCGTAGCAGGAATCAGTGACTGCCACCGCTCCTAGTTTCTGCTGCCTGGGAGCCTGACCCCAGCTCTGTCTGCACTGGCCCTCCTCACCAGTCATCCCCGACCTTCCCCTCCTCTCCCAACAAGGAGGAAACGTGGGAAGTTTGCTTGAAAGACACTTTGAAGGCCCCTCGTGGAGTGCGGGTTGCTGCAGTGACGCGGGCCTTCTTGTTCGACCCTGCTCCTGAGATGCCTCTACCTTCCAGGTAGCCTTGGTCTGGCCATGGCCTTCCACCGGCCCAGAGAAGCAGCCTCAGCCAGGGAGCTTGGCCAACAACTCCCCTTCAGAGGGCAGAACCCCGCCACACCCTGACCGGAGGGCCGGAGTCCTTCAGAATGGGCCGAAGACCATCCTCTCTGCCACTCTTACTTTTAAGCACTGCGGCCTCTTCCCAGTTGCTTAGCCCTTTCCCTACCTGCAGTCCCCTTAGACCCCAAGGTCCCACCCACCCCACCGCTAATCTGGAATCAGTTCCCAAGGCGTTGCCCACTCCTGGCCCTGGGTGGTGTGGTGGCTGTGTCCCCAGGAGTCTCAAGCCACTGTCCCCACCTCAGGGCAGCCAGTCTATAGTTTCTTGGTGGCAGGAAGGAGAGATGGCTGTGTTTCCAGCAGTCTGGGTGGGGCATCTGGAGACGACAGGTTCAACGGGAAACACGGCCTATGCCCAGCTCATTTTCTCCATTTCCAGTCTGAGTTGTCATGGACATTTTTAAAAACTTGCCAACAGAAGGCCTTACTTCTGTCTTCTGCCAAGCTCTCCTTGGTACAGGTGACTCAATAAGAGTCAGGAAAAGAAGTTGTAAGACCCATCAGCCGTTCATCCCCTGACGGGGAGTCCTGGGAGGAGGCAGAATGTTTGTTTTAGGAGGTTTTATTTTACTTAACTTTATTTTATTTTATGTTCTTCCTGTGGGAAACAGAAATGACCCCTGGATGAGTTGAGATCATGGGAAGTCTTTCTCCATCTTCCTTGTTATAAATGAGCGGTACCAGAGGAGACAGCATTTAGAAATCTCAAGGTGGGAAGGGCGGATGGGCCTGTTTCTGGGATGAGAGGTGCTGCCTCCACCAGTGGCTGGAGTTTTAACCCGAGAGAGCTGGAGGCGCTAGAAGCTGTGGCCTCTCTACTTCCCCTCGACATCAAATGCCAGCCGCCACCTTCCCTGGACAAGTCTGTGTCCCATCCAGGGCTGCCTTCTACCTTTCCTCTCCCATTCCTTAGGTCCCATTCTGTCCTGGGCAGGGCCACTTTGTCAAACACAGGTATTGTGTACCTTTGCCAACCAGTTACTGGACAAGCCTGAGATCTAGCAACTTTCTGATAGAAATATCCACACTCTGACCATATTTTGATGACCCTGAAGGGACAGTCCCTTCTGGTGTCAGGAGGATGAAGTCAGCCTGACATTTACTGTAGCCTCTCCCTTTTGTGCGCTCCAACAAGGCTTTGTCCACTACCGGGCTATAGACAGGGTTGACATACCTGGGGCCAAAAAATGTAGGTGGTGTTTTCATTTCTCAGTTCACCATGGGCTTCACAAAACTAAGAGAAGGAACAAGATAAATGTGTCAATTTAATAAGATTCAGCCTGAGCAGGACAACCACAGAGAGAGGGAGGCATACTGGATACAGAACTCAAGAGCTAAGGGACAGGTCTTCCTTTGCCGTGTCGCTAGCTGCACGACTTTGGGTAGGATGTTTCACGTCTCTGGGCCTCAGTTTCCTTGACTGTTGAATGAGAGACTAGAAAAAATTCAACTTCTCTTTCAGTTTGCACAGTCAATAGTGCTAGTGGAGGGCCTGAAAATCCATGAGATTGGTGAACACAGTGAGGTCATAGAAATCTGCCAGAAGCCCTGTGGAGGGAGGGCAGGGCAGAAAGAAGGAAGACAAGTAACGAGGGAGGGAGGGAGGGAGGGATTCAGAAGTCAGAAGTCGCGCGCGCGCGCGCACACACACACACACACACACACATGCTGCAGAGAAGACCGCGCCAAGGAAAAGGCTGGACTGTGTCTGAGAGCCGAGCCGGGAACCGGGTGTGCTGGTGCAGCCCACCTCATCAAGGGAGCTGGACTGGAACAAGAGTGTGTGCCGTTAGTCCAGGGGAAGCCAAGAGACGTCTGTGGAAACCAAGACCTGCCTTTCGTTGGAAACATTTTACACTATGGAAGATTTTTATAAATAGCACTGGCAATATTACCTAGATTCATTTTAAAGAACGTTAAAGCAAGAAAGGGACTTCAAAGATCAGCTCACCCAACCCTCTATAAAAGGGTTTATAAATTCCTTTTGTTCAGGAGAGTGATCTCCTCATGAGTTTTTAACCATTTTTAGGGGACTGTGTTCCACTGTCTTCCTGAGACCTGTGGTCAGCTTGACTCAGACCTTCTTAACTCGACTCACTTCCCTTCTTTCTAAGCTTCTTACGAAGAAGCGGCTTCGGAGCTGCTTAAGATTCATTCCTCAGCATCCTGTTCCTCTAAGCACCTGTGATTCTCCCAGAGAGGGACACAGGAAGGCCCACAGCAGCCTGCAGCTTCCCACAGGAATCAGAAGGAATGGAATTAGACCCTGCCGGGAAAGCAGCCTAACCAGAGACACAACGCGGACTCCTTCACCACCCCACAGAAACCAAGAGCAGTTCCAGTGGCTGCGGGAGACTCCCCGCCCAGAGCTGGAGTATAAAGATCGTTTCCACATGTTGAACTGACATTGTCCAGGGTTGCTTCTGGAAGGTGAAGAGGTTATCTTCACCTTGATCAGGGAGATAAACCTGTGGAAGGGAGGGGGCTCGCTGAGAGTGGCCACAAGGTGGTGCTTGGGACACCCAGCCACCTCCTGAAACCCCAGAGAAGCTCTCTGGGGCTGAGGACCCCAGGGTCCCCCTGGTTTCCAGAACTCAGAGCCACCAGGCACCCAGGGCTGATTTGTAGTGAAGGCTGATTTGTAAAAGCACAACAACAAAATGGGAGCACAGAAATGGAGAACACACTTCTACAAACAATCCCACCCTGCCCCTCACCGACTCCAACCCTCAAGTGAGGGGACACCTGCTTCCTTCCACCAGCCAGCTCTCTGCAGGCTGGAAACTGCTGTTTCAGAGACAGACACGAAGACTCGAGGTTGCCGATGAGCTCAATTCTCACCCCAACAACCTAGACACATTTTTATTCTTCAAATCTAGTTCTAGAACAGAGTTACAGATTACGGGACAGAAGGTCATTATAGGATCTTTTCAAAAGCTGCTTTTAAAGCATCAGTTGAGAAAGCATTTATGAGCTCCTCTTGGTCCTTTTCTCGAGAAAAAGAAAACTGGAACCTGTGAGAACACCGGATGCACCAAGCTGAGGGGCTTGGAAAAGACTGGCAGGTGACCAGGATATGGGGCATGGACAGTTCTTTCTTTTTCTTTCTTTCTTTTTTTTCTTCCTTCCACCCAGAATTTCAGGAAAGCTGAAGCCATATGATTTTGTACTTTCTTTCTTGTCACCAGACTCCTGTTCAATCGAACTCCTTTGTTCCATTTCTTTCCCTTCAAAGCAGGGGAAGGGGCTCACCTTCCATCTCTATTTGCATCTCTTAAAACTTTGAAAAAGACACTGAAAGACTCAAACTAATTCAATTTCACTAATCGGAGGTGGCTAGTTTGTTTTCGCTTGCCTTACAGTGATCAAGATTACAAGAGGGGTCTTGGGGACTTTGGAGGCCGGGGATGGATCTATGAAGCTGGACCTGCATCTTCACCTAAGATCCCAGAGTGGTCCACTTCCTTCCAGTCTAGGGGACCGGCAGGAACTAGCCTTTGGGGGAAGGCAAAATGAGGGGCTGGAGTGGCTTGTCGCCTCTCTCTGGCTGCATTGCAGGGTCCTTTGAGAGCATTTCTGTAGATCTTTGGCTGATTGCTTCCCCAAACCTTTGCTTCTCCCGAAACTCAGCTTCTCATATCTGTAATAAGGTTTCCCTCAGATAATACTTGGGACTTTTGATACAACCGGGCCAAATGAGAACTCACAGTCCAAATGAAAACTTCCAAAATCACGTGGGGAAAACAAGTCTAGGATCCTTTAAGAGTGAATGTTGGTGTGGATTCAGGTTGAATTGGAAAAACCCAGCTCGTTCGCACCGTATCTCCACTGGATTTATTTAAGCCAGTTCTGTACTTTTCGAGCTCTGAGGAACAGCTAGGAAGAAGGAAAAATTAAAAATCTAATAAAAGAAGCAGATAGATCATTGGAGATTAAAATTAAGACTTCTCCAGATGGCCCCACATTAAAAATGCAGAGACCAGGCATGAGTGGCCATGACAAAGGTGCCAGCGCTGCCTTCCCCAGTTCTGGCCTCCCGTCTCCAACCAGATCTGTCACCCACCTGAGGAAAAACCAAGGTACCTGAGGCCTTGCTGCCCAGAGCAGGGAAGCAGAAAGGCCTTCTCTGCTTGCTTGGCCCATCCTGCCTGGACCTCACTTCTCCTTCCCCAGCAGTCACCGCCTGGACTTCATCTCCAGCATTTCTGATTTATTTTTCAAGGTCACTCCCTGCCTGAAACATGACTTCATCACACCTGCAGCACTTCATTGTCCAAATGTCCTTGGCAAACCTCACAGTCTTTGGACAGTGTTGCATTTTCTCCAAACAGGAAATCCTCCCTCCTTCTCCAGGCTTAATAAGGCTATTGCAGAGAACCCAAATAGCACAGCTCTTGTTTCTCAGGCAAACTTGGCCCCTCTATTAACTTAATAAAACAGCTCCCTATTGTCTGGGCGGTGAGCCTGGCTAACGCTGAATTTCCAGTTCAGAAACGTTTAACCCTTGCATCCTCATCGAGCCGGCCCTCCCAGGCACTAGCACGGGCTCTCTGGCACCATGGTCTTAGGTGGGGAAGTGCAAGGTCCTTCACACGCCCAGGAGGCCTGGAGCACCTAAGCCCCAGAGATGGGTGTGGATTCAGATGTGTGGCCAGGAGAACACTATATGGCTTTCCGGTCACTGTTCTAGCATCTCCAGGGAAACCAGGCCTGCTTTTTGCCATCTTGCACTCCAACACTCACGCACTCCACCCTGCCTTCTAGACCAACATTGGAGATGCACATTCAGAGCCAGAGGGGTCTCTGGAGATCCCCTAACCAAATCCTCTCTTTTTACACTCAAGTAAACTGAGGCCAAGGCAGGTTAGACAACTGGCCCAAGTGTCTTGGCCAAAATTAGTAACCGGGCTGAGGTCAAGCAATGCAGAAGTTTTATTAATTTGTCTCTCCTCAAATGAAGATTGAGAAAATGGTCTTTATCATGCACCTACGGTTTCCCAGACACTGTGCGAAGACCTTTGCATACGTTACTCTATTAGGTCCTCACCACACCCCGAGTCAGATCTCAGCATTTTACAGACAGGGAAAGGAGGACAGGAAGGTTAAATGGCATGTCCAAAATCACACAGCCAGCAGGACAGCCCGATCAGAGCCTCCTCATCTACAGGAAAGCCCTGGGTTCTCTCCTTCGTGAAGCTGCTGCCTTTCATACACATTCAGCCGAGTGGCCGCTACCTTGGGCTTTACCAATGCTCTCGCAGAGATGCTTCTGAGGCCACTGCCTGTCTCTTTCTTTTAAGAAAAGGCAATTCTTGCGTTGGTTTTTGACACATGTTCTAGGGCTCCCAGCGGGGGAGAGGTAAGAAACATATGGCAACGCTCTTCTTCTTCACTGGGGCAGGGTGAGAGGGTCCACAGCAGGCTTGGAGGAGAAGGTCAGGACCAGGACACGAACACCTCCCCCACCCCACCCTTTGGGCAGCACAGTGGCCTCTTCCTCTCCCAGCATAGGAAGAGGGGGTATTCCAGAGCCACTCTTCTCAAACTGGAGCAAATGGGGTGGCAGGACGGAGGAATCCAGACTGAACACGGCACCTGTTCCTGGAGCATCAATTTGACTCTAGAATTTGGGAGAAAGGTTTAGACGATGAATGTATTCAAACCAGAGCAAACAAATAGCAAGGGCAGAAATCTCATGAGTTTTTGTGACCAAGATCAGCAACTTGCTGATAGACTAGGATTAGCTCCTCCCTGACTCCCAGGGGTACCAACACCTTCAGGAGCCCCCAAGGGAGCACTGCAGAAGACATTTTTGAGGAACGAGTGTAGAAGAAGGTAGGAGATCCATTAATTTTATTTATCCCCTGGTCTCTGCCTCATGTCCCCAGGGGGTGGGGAGCCTCAGACAACAGGTGGCTACAGTCCCGGCTCCTTCGCTACCTTGGGGAATTTAGAAAGAAAGCAGTGCCTTGCACCTCGGTGGTTTCAGCTGCCAGGCCAGAACTCCAGATGGAACCCCTTTCCCTTAGCTGAATGATGTTGAAATAAAAAGGAATGGATCTTCCGGAGAGAGCTGCTTCCTGTGGCCCCAGCCGGGAGGGAGCTTGGGTGGCTGTGACAGCCACGGCTGTTGCTTTCCCACTGTTTCCTGCAAAGACACCGTCAACCAAGGGCCAGCCCATTCCCCACCAGTAGAGGCACCCTGAGGCCCACAGACCCCAGGGTCGGAATCTGCACACCCAGGCTCCCCCACACACACCGTTTACACATGCACATCCCATTATTCCAACTCAAATAGCTGCCAGGCCCACAGGCATTCCCAGGTGCCCTACCCAAGTCACAGTGACTTTGAGGGGCTCCGGGCAGATGAACCCACCCTGGGCATCTCTAGATTGTCGCTCTGAGAACTCATGAACACCAAGTCCTCCAGTCCTTCTGATTTTGAGTTTGTCATTTTTAACCTTTAACAGCCTTTTCAGGTAAAAATAACAAAGACCGACTTTGTAGCTACAATGTACTTGAAAAAGCACTTACTTAAAGACTGGGACAAAGGAAAAAGAAAGAAAATAACGGAGTGCGCTCTCCCCGG